GAAAGAGTGATTTCCAAAGCAGTGTAACATGGCAGCAGCTATGTGAATTTTTCCTTCATAGCTCAAGACCATGCCTTAACACTGACATGTAATGCTCAAACTCTACAAAACAACTTGGACTAGAATGATTTATTGACATTGTTAGCCCTTGTCTGGTTTTCAATATTGTATTTCATAGATAGTTGTTAGATATCTGACACCTGCTCCTGTCTTATTTTCAGTTGATAATTCTTTTAATTAATTGTGATATCTATTAAAAAAATTAACAGACCAATTATATTTCCTCACAACCTTCTCCATCATAAACATAATTTCTTTAGCTTGATGTTCTAAATTGAACACAATATTTCAAATACACTCACACTTTTCTTATATACATGTTCTATTTGTTCTGATCTGATTCCTTTGCATCTTACATGGACGGAGTCCAGTCTCTGTTTCCAACAGTTTAGTCATTTTTATCTAACAATTCTTTTAAGCAAAAAATAAATGTGTCCTAGCAACTAGGACCAGAATCTATGCCACCACCTGCAGGTATGTGCACTGAGCTGGAAAATTATGGTCTCCCTTACTTGCCCTTTCCTTGATCCATGCATCTGTCTGCAGGAGAGGACAGCTTCAGTGCAGGGATAGACTTTTATGCGTAGATTGCTTATAGTCTGATAAATAAGGAATTCCATTTGCGAGAAATTAAGGCTTGAATTAAGAAAGGCACCAAACTCATTTCCTGAGTTAAGTGACACTGCAAGATAAAAGCAAATAGGGCAGCTAACACTTCCCATGTTCTAAAGGAAAAAAATGTGCAAATCAGACAGCTTGCCACCTTCTGATCACAATTCCTAGGACACATGCTTTTTGCATAAATCTAAGACACATTATTTGAACCATGAGCTTTGATTTTACATGATTCTCAAGACATGAGAGAAGAGGATTAGGCATTTAACCCAGAGTGAACTGTAACTTCCTTAGTATTGTGTTCTCTGTTGACTACTTCATACACCTCTGTACCTCCGCATATGCCTACATTTTACAAGTCATTAAGAAGACAACTCATATGTGTGATTGCATGTTAGAAATCAGGAGTGTAGAAATAAGCATTTAGAACTACTATGCATTAGGCCTTTTCTGGATCTTACTGCAAGCATATGAATTGATTGCTCTGCTAGATGAAGTTTTATATCTGTTAGGTAACAGCTCCTTCTTACCTGCAGTTATCATTGACTTAAAGCAAGATTTCTGGTCTATACGTGGCCAAATAATGTATTTTGCCTTTGGTCTCTTGTGTCGCAATGTTAAAAAACACAGAGTTAGGCTCATGCCAGTTGCCATAGGAACCACAAAACAACTGGTCACTGTCCGGACACCTGCGCATAAAAAGCAAGTCAGAAATTAACATGAAGAACCCATGACATGCCCCCATAAACAAGAGATATTTTCAGATTTACACCTACCAGCCAGCTTTATAATATCCAGAACTACTGAATTAGTAAGTTTGTTCAAAAGGCTAGACCCTGCAGCTTTAGGCTGGACTGCAGAAATATCACCTGACCTTCCAATTCCATGAATCAACCTAAACAAAAAAAGGTTGAAAACATACATCAAGTTTTTTTCACATCCCAAAGCAATAATACTTGCCAACTGAAGAGAATTTATTTTGATAAACAATTGTCAAAAATGCTGTATCCAATGCAACATCAATAACAAACTACATCTATTTGTATGAAACTGTCATTTATTTATTTATTTTTTAAACAGTAGGTTACCGATATTCCAGTATGCAAGTAAAAATTTTGAGAAGACCCATAGTAGCAATACCTTTAGCATCTGGCAGGCTTCCTTTTAAGTGCACCTTAGCACTTCTCAGTATCTGTTGAAGCAGCATTATAAATGCTGACATGTTCAGACACACAACTCCAAGGAAAACAAAAATCAGTTGCCTATAGTGTAACATACCATGGGCATAGTGGTATTTATACAGATACTCCCCTGACAAATGCTTCAGCTCCACAAGGCAAAGAAATAATATACACTGTGACAACATGTCCTGAAAGACAGTTACGTTAATGTACCACTTTGCCCATCTTTTTCTACGTCTTCACTTCATCTACCTCATTCTGTTATTTAATATTATGCATCATGCAATATCATCTCTCTCTGCATTCTGTTTATAAAACCCACGTTTATAAGTGTTGGATATTATTTAGCACCTTTCAGGAGTGGAGGATCCTGAAACGGTTTACAAAATACAAGCTTACAGAACTAATGTTACCTATGGCTGAAATGCAGTAGCTGCTCAAGTAAGCTAGTAACAATATACACCTATTTATGGCTTTAATTCTGTTTTTGTCTTGGAACTAGCATAAAATGCCACCTGACGAGCGCATGGAATTCAGGACTTCTTGGAGCACTGTTTTACAGATTAAATTTTTCCCCATTTCAAGCTGTAGGCTGAAATCAACAATAGCTTGATAATTAATTGAAACTCGCACATAACCCTCACTTCATCAAAAATATTTTCTTCTCTTGTTCCTGCTGCCATGTTCTTAACAGCTCTCTAATACTACTACTACTTCTTTTCTGCATATACGTACTTGTTCCTAAGGAGCAATCCTCCCCAAGACTGGCCCTCAGAATGTATTAAGCTAAAAGGAAAGACAGCTCAAGAACCACCTCCTGCTATCTCAAACCACTCCCAAAGTTACATGTAAAACATATTGCAGAAATAGTGTGGAGGAAGCCTCTATACCTTTCCTTGCTATTGCTGACAATCGTACACTACATGGGCGCATACTCTTTGCTGGGTAAAAAACTGGCTGGATGGCCAGGCCCAAAGAGTTATGCTGAATGGAGTTAAATCCAGTTGGCAGCCAGTCACAAGTGGTGTTCCCCAGGGCTCAGTATTGGGGCCAGTTCTGTTTAGTATCTTTATCAATGATCTGGATGAGGGGATTGATTAAGCAAACTCACTCTCAGTCAGTTTGCAGATGACACCAAGTTGGGTGGGAGTGTTGATCTGCTTGAGGGAAGGAAGGCTCTGCAGAGGGATCTGGACAGACTGAACTGATGGGCCGAAGCCAACAGTATGAGTTTCAACAGGGTCAAGTGCCGGGTCCTCTACTTGAGTCACAACAACCCCATACAATGCAAAAGACTTGGGGAGGAGTGGCTGGAAAGCTGCCTGGCAGAAAAGGACCTGGGGGTGTTGGTCAACAGCCAGCTGAACATGAGTCAACATTGTGCCCAGGTGGCCAAGAAGGCCAATGGCATCCTGGCTTGTATCACAAATAGCATGGCCAGCAGGAGTAGAGAATCATCCCCCTCCCTGTACCTGGCACTGGTGCAGCCATGCCTCGAATACTGTGTTCAGTTTTGGGCCCTTCACTACAAGAAAGACACTGAAGTGCTGGAGCATGTCCAGAGAAGGGCAACAAAGCTAGTGAGAGGTCTAAAGAAAAAGTCTTATGAGGAGCAGCTGAGGGAACTGGGGTTGTTCAGTCTGGAGGAGGCTGAGGGGAGACCTTATCACTCTCTACAACTCCTTGAAAGGAGGTTGTAGTGAGGTGGGTGTCAGTCTCTTCTCCCAATTGACTAGTGACAGAACGAGAGGAAATGGCCTCAAGTTGTACCAGTGGAGGTTTAGATTGGATATTAGGAAAAAAGTTTTTACTGAAAGAGTGGTCAAGCACTGGAATAGGCTGCACAGGGAAGTGGTTGAGTCACCATCCCTAGAGGTATTTAAAAGACTTGTAGATGTGGTGCTTAGGGACGTGGTTTAGTGGTGGACTTGGCAGTGCTAGGTTAATGGTTGGACTTGATGATCTTAAAGGTCTTTTCCCGCCTAAATGATTCTATGATTCTATAGGCGAAGGCAAGATGCCAGGTGACAGAGCTGCATCAGACGAACAGTAGCTAAATGCCACCTCAGGCTCTCTCTGGCCAGACGCTGGGCACACTTTCTCCAGCACTGTCAGAAAGAAATACTTCCTTGGATATTCTCTCCAGTGTGACTCTCTACCTCCCTCACCACACATATCCTAGATTAGAGAGCAGTACAGAAAACAAAAAAAGACAAACTGATGTAGTACTGGTTTTCTTAATTAATTTTTCATGGTACTGTAAGGCTTATGAAAGCCATTATGCCTAAGTAATTCAACTTATATATGGTGAAGCTTACTAAATTTCTGGTCTCTAATATGCTTTTGTGTTAATCTTTCAAGGCAAAACATTCCAGGAAATATCACTTTGTTTCATTCCTGTTACATAAAACATCACAGCAAGGTGCTCAACACAGAACTCTTTGCAAAAGAAGTATAGCTTCATAAAGAAATTAATGCAGAGCCTCCAGAATTATAGCATCCAAGGTACCTATCAAGTGTCAGAAGGGCTGCAAGCTATTAAAAGATCTTCTTGTCCTTTTAGATTTCCTTATTTCATATAAATTCTATTATAGATGGACTGGGTTTTCATGTGCATAGCAACTAATCACATTATAAAGATATTAATGAATAGAACGAAATATAAATAGCTGTTGACTAGGAATGTTTGATATTTTACAACTACAATATGCAGTAACTTTTAATAATATACAGATAAAAACCCAGACAGTGTTAAAAAAGGCAAGTAATGCATGGATTATTTTAAAACAGGAAGATGTCTGCTTCCCTTGCATGAGTCAACTCAACATCTTAAGCTTCTACCAGTTCAACATACAGGACGTAACACTGACAAAAGATTTTTTTGATTCATTCAAGACTGTCCAATGAGTTATTAATGAGAACTCAATACAGAAAGTTGTATAAATTCAATATCACATTATATTGTATTTCTCAAATGCTATCAAGGTCTCAGATTACAAGACACAATAAAATATGCTGTTTGAAAGCATTAACAGTAAATCTGAATAATTAAAATTTCTAATAATTTGTACCTGTAATGCCTTCGGGCAACGAGTCCTGATGCCACTCTTCCTTCCCTCTCACCCACACCACAGTTGCCCAGGAAGTTATTACTATCCATTATAGCAAGTTCATGAAGAAACAGTTCAATGGTGCTTTCATCCCATGCATCTTCAGGACATTTTCCCTTAATAACAATAATGTAAAGGTATAACTACCAAACTTGGAAATTAAAAATTAACACAACTTTATGCAACTTGTTTGATTCATGTTACCCTTCTTTCCCAAGCTGAACAGAAGTTTATATTTTCATTATACTGTTTTATATTATCTAATGTTATGAAACTGTATTCAGAGAGAAGTTACATAATGATTTTTCCATATATTAAGTGCAATTACATTAGCATATCCTATTAAAATAGGCAGGATATTTTTCACTTTCAAGGTACACACAAAGCCACTGCAGCACATACATGCTAATTACTCCCTAGAAGACTATAGATTATTTGATGTATTCTCTAGACAAGAATCCACTGCTACAGGAATTCAACAGAGAGAACTAGACGAAAGGGAGATAACTGGGTACTATAGAAGCAAAAATATTAATTATGAGCAGAAGGGAGAGGCAGTTTCACTTGTAACACATCTTCCTATCTGTGCATCTTCCTTTCTAGTTATTATCCAATAGGTACGGAAACCACTTACAGAATACAACGTGTCAAAACCTGCAACCAGACGGATGCTCTTTACTGCGTTAAGAGCTGCACTCATTTTTCTGCAAACCTCAGAAAAATCCTCAGAGGAAAGGTACCCATAAACCCATGAAGCATTACTACAGCAGCTCAACAGTTCTGAGGCTTTTTTTACATACCCCAGTAACAGTAAAACAAATTAATTTCTCAAGTATGGTATACAAGTTTGAAATAGTGGATGATGTTGACTAAGGACGTTCAAGAACTGCAACTCTAGAGAATTCATTGATAACGATTTCTGTATGTTGGAGACAAATACATTGTGTTGGCACCTTACAATTATCATTTTTTACCTTATGTAACAACCAGTTAGCAACTTGTCGTTTTAAAAAAAAATTCTTTAACTGTTTGCTGGGCCCTTCTCAGCAAACACACAGCCAAAGGCAATCTTTTTTCCCCCCAAACGCGGCCTTCTAGAGAATTCATTGATAACGATTTCTGTATGTTGGAGACAAATACATTGTGTTGGCACCTTACAATTATCATTTTTTACCTTATGTAACAACCAGTTAGCAACTTGTCGTTTTAAAAAAAAATTCTTTAACTGTTTGCTGGGCCCTTCTCAGCAAACACACAGCCAAAGGCAATCTTTTTTCCCCCCAAACGCGGCCTTCCATCATGGGGCTCGGTAAGGTCTCT